GGAGGGGAAGGGGATGGAAGGAGAGGGAAGGGAAGGAAAGGAAGGAAAAATAGGAAAGGAAAGGGAAGGGAAGGAAAGGAGACCCAACTGGCCTAGCTCAGAGGTGACACCCCTGAACTGTTGAAATACAGACCCAAGTTCAAACTCAAAAAAAAAAAAAAAACGAGAGTAGCCTGAGTAGGGAGGAGGGGGAAGGAAGGAAAGGAAGCGAAGGGAAGGGAATGGGTTGCAAAAGAACCAAAAAGATCAGATAGGGACAGAGCGGAATGAAAGGTACGAGAAGATGAGCGAAAAGGAAGTAAGGGACATGGAGGAAAGGGAAGGGGGTTGATTGGGGGTCTGTCAGCCTTGGGGTAGGCAATTGGAAAAGCACTCCAGAGATCTCACACTTTGCACTTCTATAAAGCAGCCTGTGCACTCATTCTTTTCTTCAATGTCTATTCTGCGGTGGAGACTGTGTCCTTTAGACGTGCAGCTATTGAGAAAAGAGTAGCAGAGCTGTGGAAGTTCAGAGAGGCTTCAGTTTTGACGAAAGAGGAGGAAGAAAAAGTAAGCACCGGTTGGCAAACGCGAACCACCACAGTACCACACTGGTTTGTCAGATTTCTTACACATGACAGACCACAGTAGTTTTCCAAAATTCATGGTGGTAACTGGGTTTCAAGTTTCAGCTGACTGAAACTGAGAAGCTCCATTTGTTCAATTTTGTTGTTGATCTATTCTATAATTTTTTTATTTAAAAAAAAAAAAAAAAAAAAAAAAAAACCCAGAACCTCACGGTTCTGGCTCCTACCATTCTGGGGAGCAACAGTCCGGTTCCTATTCCCCCGGCAAGTCAATATGGAATACATCAAAGACTCACACACGCTCCTCCCCATTATGGCTGAGAGGCCCGATTAGGCAGCATGGATTACTTCCTTGAGGAAGGATGTACCACCTCTCACCCCTGCCTAATCTAGCCTGCACTAACTCTGCCTGCCCATCTATCTGATCCCTGATCTGCTCCTCTCAGCTATAAGGCTGTCAGGTATCTATGATTATACCAGAGCATTCAGGAACCCTTATATGCCTTTTGAAGCCTCTACAATTCTATAACAACTTTTGCCTTGTTTCTGTCTAAGCCATAAACTCTAAGCCCTCGCTCTTACGTCTATCCAAACCCTAAACCCTAAACCCTTAACTATATATGAAACTCCGACAAAACAGTTTGTCACAGCCCCTCGTTTGTTGTCCTCTTCTCTCTCTCTGCCTACGGTCTACCGGGCAGTTCTGTTTGTGACGATATATACTACGACTTCGCTAGCTTCCTGCTACGGTTTTTTCCGGTCAGGTCGAGCGGCA